GTAAAGTTAATTGTATTGAGGGCCAAGCTGAGGACCATGGTCCAAGAACACAAATTTAGCACAAACTGAGAATGCATCCCGGAGTGGGCTACGTCCCTTCTGCTATGTAGAAAATGGGACAGTGAAGCAAAGGTGACATTCTTACAGTTCTACCTGGTGTTCAGTGACCTTATACACATGATAAAGCAAATATGTGGTTAATGTATATAGGGTAAAAAGGTAAGGAGTACACAGACATCTTAGGGTCTGGACAGGGATGGTTAATTCTATCCTAACATTGAGCTTCTTCTGGTGGGCAAGATTGTAATCAGTGTGCCAGTGAAGTATCTGACAAACCTCAGACTAGCAAACGAGAGTTCAGCATAGTTCACAGGCCTAGTTTCTATCATCTATATATGTCCATCCTGTAGTCATCTTGGAATTTATAATTTTTTGTTTCAGATTTGCAATATTGTTGTCATAATTCTCCCTGTATCAATTTACATTATTGGGATTATGGGGGAAACTTTCTACACTTGAGTCATGTAGCATCCTTATTACTTTTCCCTTCTCAAACAACATTGTTTAATTGTCCCATTGGCTTCGTTCTCCATGTACCATACTTTGCTGTATATAATGCACAAATTTTTTGCCCAAATTTGTGAGAGAAAAGGATGCGTATCACACATGGGTAGTGCAGCTCAGGAGGGGAGCCCAGAGGACCATGGGGGCCGCGACACCCTCCCACCTAGGCTTGCTGGGTACATGGGGTTCCATTCCAAGAGGACATGGGATCGGAAGGGGGCAGCCTCCACTGAGTGCTACAATCAGGGGTGGGGGTGGTGGCAGGGCTGCGTGGCTGAAGCCTCCACTGAGTGCTACAATCAGGGGTGGGGGTAGGGCTGCGTGGCTGAAGCCCTGGCCACACAGAGGGGACTGGGAGCCCCATGAAAGTCCCAGGGACCCAGTTGGCTGTGTATGGGCCAAGCAGCCTCTGAAGCTCCTGCCCAGCTGGCCACATGTGTGGCCATCTCAACCATAGCCTCCAATGTGGCAAGGAGAAAGGGCTCCCAGGAGAGAGGGAAGGGGCAGCATCCAGCAACTGTGGGACGGTGTTGTGATCTACATGTTTATCAGAGGAGTGTTAGCCCTCCCCAGATGCATGTCTCCCAGCCAAGAGCCAGTCACTATCTTGAGCATTTTCCTCAAAGTCTGGGCCAAAACTATGGGAGTGTATTACACACGGGAGAGAATTATACATGGAATTTAACCCCAAACTCCTTGCTGATTGTAAATCTCTCACATTGTTCCTCCCGATGAAGCAGCCTTTCCCAGAACCTCTGACTCACAAGTCAGAGGACCTGGTGATCTCTCCTACCACCCTGGGGATCCCTTGGCCTGTGTTAAGTCTCCTGTATGTCACGCCTTCCTCTTTCACAGCCAACTCCACCTTGGTGGAGTGCATCCTCCAGTAACTAATTGCCTTAGAAATAGGAGGTGTTTTGTTTTCCAAAAATTTCTTGTCTGAAATTGCCTTTATTCTCTCTTTTCAGCTGATCTGTAACTTGACTGAGAATATTCTAAGTTGGAAATAACTTTTGTTCAGAAATTCAAAGGCATTTCTCTATTGTCTTTTAGCTAGTATTGCTACTGAGAAGTCTAAAGTCATTTTGATTCCATTTTACTCTTTGAAAACTTCTTTGCCATCATGGTGGTATCATTTCAGAAAGTGCCTTAGTGTGAGTCTATTTTCTTCACTGTAATGAGCATTTGGTAAGTCATTTCAATCCAGCAACTTCTTATAATGATTACAGAAATATTTTTGAATTATTGAATGACTTCCTCCCCTGTACTGCCTTTCTTGCACAATCACCACAGCGTATTGTTTATTTAATGTTTGGCTTTCCTTCACTCAGTTGTACATTCACAAAAAGGCATGAAAGGCATGAAACACACCTCTCTTAGTTTAGTGCTCAGAACAGTGCCAGGCACATAGCAGGGCTCAGTGAATTCTGAATGAATAGATCACAGGAGGAGGCCAAATCCTGAAGTACTTGAAAGGATAGATTTTTCTCTGTGCTCTTTCTGAAACTATTATATCAGTGTCAAACATTTTGAACTAGTACTCTAATTTTATTTTATTTATTTTGTAGAGATAGAGTCTTACTTTGTCACCCTCAGTAGAGTACTGTGGCATCACAGCTCATAGCAACCTCGAGCTCTTGGGCTTAGGCAATTCTCTTGCCTCAGCCTCCTGAGCAGCTGGGACTACAGGCACCTGTCACAACGCCCAGCTATTTTTTTGTTGCGGTTTGGCCAGGGCTGGGCTTGAACCTGCCACCCTCAGTATATGGGGCCAGTGCCTCACCAACTGAGCCATAGGCGCCACCCCTTATTTTTTATTTTCCATTCCTTTGTCTTTTTGCTTTACTTTCTGGGAGATTTCGTCACCTTTATTTTCCAACGCTTCTATTGAGTTTTTCACTTCTGGTAATGTATTTAAAATTCCAATAGCTTTCTTTATTTCCCCCTAAGGATCCTTTTTTAAAAAATAATAATATCCTAATAGCATCTCATGTTTGCAATCTTCCTATCTCTCTGAATATACATTTGCTTTTTAATAGTTTCATTCTCCTTGAAACCACCCCCCCCCAATTTGTTTTTATCTATATATTTTATGTTAAAGGCTCTCCTAAGCTTGGTGATCCTTGCTGATCTACTCAAATTTAAGAGTGAGACTTAACAGATGATTGGAAGTTCCGAATGCCAGAGTGGGGCTTGCCAACTATGAGCTTTGCCATAACGTAGGATTTCTCAAACTGTGCACTTGTGATAGCTGGGGCCATATAATTTTTGTGGGTCTGTCCTGTGCATTGTAGGGTATTAAGAAGCATCCTCCGCTTTGACCCAACAGACACTAGTAGTATCCTCCCAGCTGCAACAACCAAAAATGTCTGCAGACATTGCCAAACATACCTGGGGGTAGGGAAGTCAAAGTTAAAATTGTTCCCAGGTGAGAACCACTGCTATAAAGTAACCGGGCTAGACTATTTGTTTAGGGAATTTCTGATGTCAAATAATTCTGTCTTTTCTCTACTAGTAGTCATTTTTGCTATAGAAGATTCTCCCAGTTTTCTGCCTGGAGGGTAAAAGCCAGGCTTGCCAATGCACTGAAAGCAGTAGGAGATGAGGCATCTCAGTATCTCACATGTACATCCACTCAATCTTGCAATATTCAGTACAATACTACCCACTCTCAATAATGTCTGGGAGACCCCCATGTCTAGAGACAATGCTATTCTAATCACTGTAGAGAATAAACCTCCATTCCTCTTCTATGGGGGGGGGAAGAAGCATCACTTGACTTCACTAAGTCAGCATGGGATTTGGGGAGCTCGAACTACCTAAATGGACTTTCAACCAGTTCCTCTCATTTTCTCATTTTAACTTCCCTTTACCCACAATTTATGAAGATATTTTGTACCTCCAATTCCTGAGCTCTGTGGCAGATTCTGTAAGTTAATTTTTTATTTTCCTTTTTTTTTTTGCAGTTTTTGGCCTGGGCTGCATTTGAACCCACCACCTCCGGCATATGGGGTCAGCACCCTACTCCTTTGAGCCACAGGCACCACCCCTTAATTTTTTATTTTCCTTACCAATTGATTAGTTTTTTTTAAAGTATCCTGAGTACTTAAGCACTAGACTATGTGCTAAATCAAAGTTCCTGGCCTGAGACAGTGCCTCATGGCTGTCAATTCCAGCAGTCTGGGATGCTAAAGTGGGTGGATTGTTTGGGCTCCTAAGTTTGAGAGGAGTTTGATCAAGAATGAGACTCCATCTCTACTAAACATAGAAAAACTAATGGGCTTTGTGGTAAGCGCCTGTAGTCCCAGCTACACTTGGGAGACTGAGGCAGGAGGATTACTGGAGCCCAGAACAGGCACTTCTGCTGGGCACAGAACATGAGGGACATGAATTCTTTATGGAATACAGTATAACCTCTGTAAGTTGACCACCCAAGAAACTGTAACAAACTACTAAATATACAGAGGTGGTCAACATAAGGAACTAGGCCTACTGGACTGATACATAACATGTACTTTTACTTTCTGTCTATAAAAAATTGGGTCAGCTTAAGGAAGTGGTCAATGCAGGGAGATGGCCAACTATGGAGGTTCTACTGTTTATATTCCTGTATAATAAACATTACACCTGTGACAAATGGTAAAAGAAGGCAGTGCAGTGGGCATGGGTGCATACTTAGTTTGCAGGAATCAGATGATGGTCTGCCATTCACCATTTGCTCAATCCAGAAATCAGGGAGTTACCTTTGAATCCTTAATCATGTCCAACCCATTGGCAAATCCTACATATTTCGTTTCTTAAGCAGCTCTCAAATTTGCTCCCTTTACATCACTGCAATAACTACAACCCAAGTCACTGTCATCTCTTACTTGTGCAAACTGCAACAGACTCCTAAAAGCTCCCCACCTTCCTCAGACATGCTGGCTCCTCCCACTCCATTCTCCTGTGGTATCCAGAGGGATTTTAAAAAAATAAAATTTTCATCAACCCATTTCTCTGCCTCACAGCCCATAAAGGTTTTCCATTGCCATCAAGAAACAGGCTCGGCGCCCATACCATGGCTCAGCAGCTAGGGCGCTGGACACATACACCAGAGTTGGTGGGTTACAATCCAGCCCCAGCCTACCAAACAACAATGACAACCACAACCAAAAAATAGCCGGGTGTTCTGGCAGGCGCCTGTAGTCCCAGCTCCTTGGGAAGTTGAGGCAAGAGAATCGCTTGAGCCCAAGAGTTTGAGGTTGCTGTGAGCTGTGACGCCACAGCACTCTACCGAGGGCAACATAGTGAGACTGTCTCAAAAAAAAAAAAAAAAGAAAAGAAAATCGTCTGAAATCCTTACCATGATCTACAAGGCAATGTAACACAAGAGTAATTTTTATAAATGAGCCTCTAGAGTCAAGAAACCTGAGTTCAAAAGTAGACTTTAGACTTACCAGCAAAGGGCCCTCGGGACGAGCTGCTTAGTAATTCTAAATGTCAGTCCTCTCATCTCACCTGTAAAATAAAGGTCGTAACAGAATCTCTTCTGTTAGGTTATTCTTAATATCAAATGATACTACAAATATAACGGCGGCAGCTTTCAGCCTGTCTCAACATTCTCCCCGTCCAGTTCAGCGCTTACTTACAATGCCGTGATTAGTTCAGACTCTCTGGAATCTGGATCCAGCCTGCCCCTCATGCCTGTTTTCGCCTCCATATAACGGAGATAACAGTGGAGGATTAAATTAAAATATTGTCAAATGGTTAAAAGAGCGCTTGGCACACAGGACATTCGCGGCTATTCCATTCCCTGTGAAGTCTTCCAACAGGCCTCCTCTCTGGCGCTTCTGCTTCACCTGCTCTTTGTTGAGGCCTGGGCGCAAACACACCTCCTCCGCGGCCTTGGGGCCGAGGCCGGCCCCCTGCTAGGGAGCATCTTCGTCCGCGCCACACACACGTTCCAGCCGCGGGCTCAGAGCCCCACAGTGGCAACTTCAGCCCCAGCCCTTTTCCCAGAGAACCCCCTTCGGCACCCGTCAGAGCTCTCAGGCGGCACACCCACGCTCCCCAGCATTTCTCCGACTGTGAGGCCGCCACCACGTGAAGCCATAAAGGCCCGGAAGCGAGCGGCCCGGGGCGTTCCCTCACCACTGTCCACCCCCGCGCCCGGCCGCCCTTCAGCCTCACAGGCTGGGCTGGAAAGGGGCGGAACCCGCTGAGCCGCCGCGCGGTTTCCCGGCCGGACCAAAAAGAGAAGCGCACGGAGAGTCGCGGGAGCAGCTATTTGGTGCTGTCTCGCGACATGGCCTTCAATTTTGGGGCTCCTTCGGGCACATCTGGCACCGCTGCAGCCCCTGCGGCCCCCGCGGGTGAGTGATTCCCCCCTGGACCTTCGCTGGGGCAAAAGAAGCGTGTGGGCTGCCCCCTCAGTTCGAGACTCTCCGACTTGGGGATCCTAGGGACCCCCGCGCGCGCGCGGACTTTGGAGGCTTCGGAAAAGGGCGGGCGGCAGCACAGCGGGCCGAGGCGGCTCCTAAGGAGGCCGTGGGGGGTATTCAAGGACCAGTCCAGAGCGCGCTTACAGCCCTTGGGTCCCTCGGGACCCGTACTCCCGTAGTTCGCTTCCCGCCGCCGGGAGTTCGATTCAAATTGGAGGCTGCTCCCTTCTCCCCTTTCCTGAGACCTCCCCTTCCCTCTCCACCCCAGCGTCCCTGACGGGCGGGAACGCTCGCTTGGCACCCCCTGCGGGCTTTGGAGGAATACGGCTGGGGATTCCGGGGCTCTGCCTTGGGTTCTCTGGGTCTCACCCCAGAGGGGCGGGAGCCTTCGGCCCGGCCCCTTGCGGTGCTAGCTGTGGGACTTCCCGCTCCCGCTCCTAGTGTCTGTCCCCACCTCCTTTGCTTTCTTAACTCGTTTGGAGTAAAGTCAGGTTTGTTCACTTCTGCGAAACCTTCTGCTGATTCTTCTAATCCTTATCTTGCTTTCTTTTCTTTTTCTTCTTCTTCTCTTTCTCCTCTTTTTAAAATTTTGTTTCTTTGCCTACACGCCTATCAGGATTTGGTGGGCTTGAGACTGCCAACTCTACCGCCAGTGGGTTTAATTTTGGGGGTTTCGGATTAACTGCTAATCCTGCAGTGAACTTTAATATTGGGAATTTCGGTGTTTCTACTACCTCGGCGACTCCGTTCAATTTTGGTAACAGTCTGGCAAGTGCAGGTAGATACTGCGGGTTGTATGTGTAATGAGTGTTGGGAGCTGGAGTCCAAGAATATTTCATGATTCCTGGAGTTTGGGAAAGAACAGTGATTTATCTCATAAAGAAAGGACATTCGTTTCCTTTAATGTCGACTCAAAACTATTGGTATCAAGTTTTGACTGTCTTAAAGGTGGTTTTGGGAAGTCTTGCAAGTTATAGTCCCTTGTTAAATTTACACTAAATTAAACAGAATATATATTCCAAATGATAAACGTTTGGATTATAATTCTGGATAGAATATGACTTTTAAATTATTAGATATATTTTCCAAAATATAAACTCACCTATTTTCCTGGGATTCTTGGACTCCAGAAGTCATTTGTCATTTTCCTGCATCTTTCATTGGAATTTCATTTTATTGTCTTTGTGTTTCCAGAGAGAAACAAGTCTTATACGAACAGCAATAATCGTCTTGTTGTTTAACCTGTATAGTATTGATGGTAATGCTTTTTCTTTGGTCAGTTCAGCAGATTAGGATACATAGATATGAAATTATAGAAAGAATTCCCAATTCTTCCTGGATTTTAGAAAATGCTCAGCGCAGCTTAATTTATAGTCAGGTAGCATTGAGTTCTAAAAGGTAGGGCCAGATATTGTTACATTCAAAAGGATAATTATGAAGATTTCCCTGTCTAAGTGGATTGTTTGAAACTAATTAAAATTTTTACAAAACACAATGGATACATATATATAAAAATTTAAATAGGTTTATGTGTACTTTACATTTAATGACTCTATAGAAAAATCTAGTTTTTCAGCTGCTCGTATATGAATTTATCGTTCATATCCTCTTACATTATGCCTCTTATGCCCATGCCAATTATATGCATTTGGTAAACATCATTTATTCCCTAAAACTTATTTGGGAAGTCTGGTGATGTGGTCATTCATTTGTTAGGGCAATGTGAGTATCACTCTGAGTTGAAAACAGCTTGAATATTTGAAAATGCCAAAGGTAAAATAATCTATCTGAAGTGATTATATATAACTATTCTTTGTTTAGTATGTTTACTTTTACTTATTTGCTTAAAATTGGCATTGGGTAAAACAGAAACCTTATTTTGAAGGTTTGTGTGTTTCTGAATAAAGCCTATCAACTCATAATTCAACACCAATAAATAAACCTGTTGGTATTTGCTTGATGTCATGTTCACTTGGAGTTATCACTGTTAAGTTTTGGGTTATGGTAATATACCTGTTTTAACTTCTTTTTATGTGTTAATTAACTTAACCCTCAGTCAAAGGCTGAGAGAAATTCTTGTTTATATTTTATTTTGTATGCTTGCTGATCTGTTATTAGTAATAAAACTTTTTTGATGTTTGGAGCATGATGAGATACAAACTAATGTTTTTATTGTGTAGCCAATTCAGATTATATTATAGTTATTCCTTGGAAGTGAGGGGTAATGAAAAGAGATTAAGAGCAAAGCTTAATACTTTAGATGGTTTGTATCAAAATCTTTACAGTTCACAGTATTGCAGTAGAACCTGCAAGTAAATGGAATATTTGGTTGTTTGCTGCAACATGTATATATTCTTGAGTAGTTTTCCAAGTCAGAATTATGCGATCAATGTTAAATGGTTGAGTTTTTTCTTATCTTTTATGTTACAATATTGATGAATCTGTTTGTATACCAGAAATATATGAGATTAAAGGTAGAATCCCAGATAACCTGTGGCATAATTTAGCACTAATGATTCAAACATTTCTCTTGAAAGGCTTTTGACACCCCATAGAAAATCAGCTAAAAACTGACAATGAGTTACAAATAATAATAAAACAGTTTTAGATTGGCTAGCATTCTATTATGTAAAGTTAGATATGGTTAAGCTTAATTTCATCTCTAGACTCCCCTAAAAATTTGTGTGGAGTTGCTAAACTGTGGTACAGAGGCCTGTGGTGACTCTGCTCACCTTCCTGCCACTGCCTCCACTTGTGTTTTTTTCCTTTATCTCTTCCTTCAAGAAACACATTCTTGTTGTATAAAGGTAAATATATTGGTACGTTTCCTTTGAAAAGTTACTTAGTCTTGACACAGGCTAAGTAGAAATGTAAGCTAATGTAAATATAAATTAATTTGTCAAATCCAAGGTTGCCAACTGGTGACAAGTCTGCCAACATGATATATTTGGCATAGTATTTTTAAATCATTTGAATTAGTTGCAAAAATTTTTATATTTAATTTTAATATTTGACTTAGGGTTTAAAAACCAATAAATTATACAAAGAAAATCCAGCATTGCTATTTCTCTTGGGGGGAAAAAACAGAAATATGTGACATTACTACACTACCACTCTTCCATAATTTAGGAAGTGCAGCTATTTTTTTTAAAAAAAAACTGCTTTCTTTAAATACTTCCACCTGTCAGTAAACAGTATACTCACTAATGTTATCAGTCTAAATTTTGTAGACAATTGAATTTGCAATCCCTAGTCTAAAAGTTAAGTTATTTTAGACTTAAGGCAATAGGCTTAACATGTTTTCTGGGCTGTTAATATTAATCACTGCTCTAGTAGAAGAAGATATATAGCTTTGTGATATTCCTATCTTTAATATTTAGTCACTTATTTCTTATAACTATTGACATCATGGTTAGTAGTATAGTTTTTTAAAAAAATTGATGTTGAAAATAGAGAAAGGAAAAATGAGATAACTATATTTGTCTAATTACATATTATTTGAAAAAGAAAATGCCTTCATGTATACAAAAAATTTTTCTTTTCCATTTATATCCTTTTTTAATTAGGCGGGTTTGGAGGATTTGGGACAACATCTACAACTGCAGGTTCTGCATTCAGCTTTTCTGCCCCAGCTAACACAGGCACTACTGGTAAGAAGCCATCTCAAGTCATTTGTAGAAGTAAATGAGGTAGAGGTTAGTTGGTGTGTTTTTTTTGTTTTGTTTTGTTTTTTAACTTACACAATTCCAATTTTTCCTCCAAAGGACTCTTTGGTGGCACTCAGAACAAAGGGTTTGGATTTGGAACTGGGTTCGGCACAACAACAGGAACTAGCACTGGCTTAGGTACTGGTTTGGGAACTGGACTGGGATTTGGAGGATTTAATACCCAGCAGCAACAGCAGCAAACTAGTAAGTATGATGTTTTCATCTTCAAGTATAAAACTGTAGCAATAATAGCTAACATTGAGTGTATTGTTTGAAATACTTTACCTTTTTTTGGTTAGAGTTATAAATATCATATTCCCAGTGATTTCATTAGCTTCTTCTCATGTGTTTGTATGATAGCAGTGGGAGAGGAGACGAATGGTCCTGATTGGGATTGTAAGGTCTCTTTGTTTAGGATCATTCCCCTTAAATTTTTGTTAAAAATAACACAGAGAAAACTTTGCAAAGTACAGCTGAATGAATTATTTACTTTTAACACCCTTGTAACCATTGCCCACATCAGGAGATGGACCCTGCCACTTTGAAGTCCACCACTATTCTCTTACCAAACACTTTCCTTTCAGCGGAACTACAGTGCTGTGTTTTATGCTGATCATTTCCTTTTCTTTATAATTTTGTCACTCAGGTGTGTAGATATTATTCAGTTTTGCCTGTCCAGCTTCACTATAGATTCCCCTTTTATCTCTCTTAGTGATTTTTTGGAGAAAGCAGATCATTTCTTCTATAGTGTGTTTCAGTCGAGACTACATTCCTATTGTGTAGTTTAGCATATTCTTCTGTCCTCTGTATTTCTTAATAATTGGGTTTTATGTAGGGGCTTATCACTATTGATAATTTGGTTTTTTGTTTGTTTGCAAAATTATTGTATAGGTATTGTGTTCTTTATCAAGAAGCATATGCCTGTTTGCCTTTTGTGTGTGTGAGGTTAGCACCCGTTGGTGATCATTACCTGCTGCTTCACTTCAGTTCCTATTCCATTTATTTGCTGGAATACTTCAATAAAGAGAAACTTCACCTCATCTGTTTAGTTGATTCTTTCCCTTTTTACTAGTTTTCAAAATAAAGAGTTGGTTGTCTAGCATTCTCCAAAGGTAATCAGGTTTTTTATGTCAGTACTCAAGCATTTAAACTTTTTTTAAAAAATCCATTGCATTGTTTTTATTTATGCTTAAGTTATTCTATCTCAGGCTAGTGTAAGCCTCTTCAGGTTGGCTCCTGAGTCTCTTTTGACCCAAGTCTGGTATTAGTCTTTGATGACTTCCTTATTAGCTGGTATGGCTGTAGGTTCCAGGGCTGATGTTGTATGGATTAACTTACTAATTCTCAGAAGAACTCTGTGAAATAGCACTGTTGCTGTGTCCATTTTGTGGATGAAGAGAGGAAACTAAGAGATTGTAACTTATCCATATTCCTCTCAGGAAGTACAGGGACGTGCATTCAGGTTCCTTGACTCCCTGTGTAGTGCTCTCCTCACTTTTCCACAGTCTGGTACCTCTTAAAATCCCTTTCATTTATTTATTTGTTTGTTTTTAGGTAACTTGATTGCTAAATTCCATCCTACTTAGTCATTGAAGATTAATAATGAAACATGAATTTCAAGGATTACCTAATCAATAGGATAAAGAGAATAGAGTAGTAGTCTCAGAATTCTTTCTAGTGTCCCAATCATTCTTTTTTTCCTATAATCTTGCAAAAATTACAAAGTTTAATGAAATGCCCAAGTAACAAAGAGAGGAAAACAAAAGTGAATTGCTTTCCTTTGTTTCTTAAAATAAGGTCTCTCCAACCATGAGCAGTTGTAGTTGCACTTTCGTAAGAGAAAAAAAAAAAAAAAAAAGGAATTTGAATCTGGTGCTGTTACAGAAATGGAAGGGGCTCATTCAGTTATGTTGTAGCCATTTATGAGATATATATATAATATGTCAGGCATTGGGTCATACAAGGTTGAAAACCAGCATCCCTGATCATAGTCTACAAGGAGATTCCAGGGTATTCTAGGGATAACATTGACAGAGGCATGGATTCATGGCAGAGCATAAAGCATTTCGGACCTGCAGCTAGGTCAGTATAGTTTTAATGCATCAGTGACCTTAGGGCCAGTGGTGAGAGCTAGATAAAGGAGATATGAACTAGCTTATAGGGGGCCTTGAGTGTTTTTGTTTTGTTTTGTTTTTTGAGACAGAGTCTCACTATGTTGCCTTTGGTAGAGTGCCGTGATATCACAGTTCACAGCAACCTGTAACTCTTGGGCTTAAGCGATTCTCTTGCTTCAGCCTCCCAAGTAGCTGGGACTACAGACACACGCCACAATGCCCGGCTATTTTTTGGTTGTAGTTGTCATTGCTGTTTGGCAGGTCCAGGCTGGATTCGAACCTGCCAGCTCCAGTGTATGTGGCTGTCGCCCTAGCCGCTGAGTGACAGGTGCTGAGCCGACCTTCCATGTTTTAATAAGGAGCTGTCGTTTAAGCAGTTGTGAACCATTGTGGGATTTACGCTAGACAGGAAAATTGTCAGATTTTTAGAACTGTCTGAGAGAAATAGAAGGATAAATTAGAAATAGAAGGGTAGGTGGGCTGGAATGGAGGCAGGGATACTAGTTCTGATGCTCTTGCCAAAGCAAGATATAGTGAAGACCTGAGTTAGGCAGAGGCCGTCAACAGTAGAAACAAAAAAACAGGAGATGGCGTTGAGGGAGATGAGATGTAAGTTGCAGAATCAATAAAACTTAATGACTGGGTAAAGGTGTTTGGGCTTTTGGATTGCATGACTGACTGAGCTCCTTGCTTTTCCCTACGACCCAGAATACCAATGTAGGAACAGGTGTTTGTGGATAGATAATGAGTTTGAGCTGCCCCTCACTGTACTTTTATGTGTGGGTAGGAGCTCGGGAGAGACTTGAATACCTTAAGAGTATTTAAAGCAGTCAACTTGAATGATGCCATTTAGGAGACTTGATTCCAGAGCAAGAGAGAGGAGAGCACTGGAACAAAACTCTTGGAAACGCAAACATTTAAATGAAGAAGCAGAGGAAAAGAGCCCATTTCTTGCTACCATGCCCTATCTCCAAGCCAAGTAGGATATTAGCCCCCTCATATAGAGTGCCATGCTTAGGACCATTGCCTGCCCACAACACGCACATCCATCCATGTGCATCTTGTAGCTCATTAGCTCCCTTTTACTCATCACAGTTATACACCTGTCTCAGTTGGCAACACCTGTGGTCAAGAGGAAATGACATTCAGCTTTCCCTGCTACCACGAGACCTCCTTTCTAAGCCAAGGCTAATTATTCACAGTACTCCAAAAGACTGTTGAGACACTTGGTGCGCTTTCCTGCCTTCATAGCTCTGTCCTGCTCCCTTAGATTCATGGCTTCCATGTCAAGTCACTCTTGCCAGCATGCTAAATTTCTGGGTTTTGTATTACATTGCCTGAAAAAAAAACCCAAGTCTTTGTACACTCAACTGTATATTCAGGTATTGCATGAGAAAGTCACACATTATGGAGAATGAACACACCTCTGTAAATTCTTCAACCTCAGGCCTGAACATTGCCTGGTAATCCTGTTAAGTCTCTGTTTTAAAATTACTCTCCTACTTTCTGTAACAGTTACTTTAAACCTTTAGTCTCTTTAAATCTCAAATATTTCTGTTCTCACTTTTAGCAAATGGCCTCAACTCTGCTTCAAAGAGAAGATAGACTCCCTCATTGCAATTCCTTCAGATTCCCACTGTGAAATCTTTCCCTTCCTCCCTTCTAACCACCCTCTTTTCACCTGTGCTCAGGA